ATATTCATCAGCAGGCCGCCGCCGATGCCCATGCTTTGGGCAGTCAGGAGGCCGTTGCACAGCATTGTGGCAATTGTTGCATCCACAGCGCTGCCATTCCGCTTCATAATATCACTGTGGAAAGGGGAAAAGGGGCATAGTTTAAGCACATTTCAGGATTAAACTTGTCAATACGGATTTAAGGATTTCTTTTAAGTACAGCTTAAAAGTCTTTGAGAAACAGAAAAGACCTTTTCTTTATTATTATGCCACCATGTCTAAGCTAAAGCAGCTAAAGTAGTTAGCAATGGGTTCTAGCAGCTTAAAAAAATATATACGGGCAACACGTTAAAGCTTTTAAGAGCTTTCAAAGTACATAAAAGCTACATGGGCTAGAATAAGATAAAATATGCGCCTTAAATCATTAGATCATTTTTTGTTTCAAGCTTACAAGATTAAGTAGCTTTGAAAACTTGTGAAAGCTTTATTCAGGCTTTCGAGTATTAATTATATCCCTCCCGCCTTGTTATGCTAAACCTGTGTATGCTAAGCTTGAAGTAGCTTTGAAAGTACATAAAATGAGCTTTTAATTTAATCAAGCAGCTTTGCTTTAGGTATTGTGTTTTTTTTTTCAAAAAAAGTGCTAGAATAATTGAAACTATATGTCATATTAATCAATCAGTATATTAATATGAATATTGTGAGGAATAGTTTGTTGTACCTGCCAATCTGACTGCAAGGCTCCGCATCCGAGCAGACGGCCGCGTGCTCAAAGACGCCCAATTTAGATGTAAACTCGATGTTGCTGTTGTCCAGTATTGTTGCTGGCGACGGAGGTGGCGTTGTTGCGGACGTGGAGGCGGCCACCGCAGGGCCAGCTATGGCAATCTCCTCAGCTGCTGCTGTTGTTGCCTCGATGCTGTCGTTGTTGCTGTTGTGCAGCGATGCTGGCGGCTGCTCATCTGTTGAAGTAAATGTTTTAAATGTGTGGCTTGTGGTTGGATTGCTTGGTGTTGTTGTAGTTGTTGTTGTTGGTGTGCTTTCTATTGTTGTTGTTGTTGTTGTTGTTGTTGTAGTTGTTGGTGTGCTAGTTGTGCTAGTTGTTGTTGTTGTTGTCGGTGCCGGTGACGAAGGCGCGGCGGCGGCTGCAGCAGCATCTGTTGCTGCCGCAGCTGCTGTTGCTGCTACTGTGCTGCTGCCAACAATTGCTGCTGTTGCTGTCGTTGTTGCTGTTGCTGTTGCAACAGTGCTGTTGCTGGCTCGCAAGGGCGTTGACTTTGGCCAGTCTTTAGTAGTTGTTGTTGTTGTCGGTGCAATTGTTGTTGTTGTTGTTGTTTAGTAAGTTAAGGTGTAAGAGTTTCTTGTCAATACATTGATTTTTTTTGGTGCCACAATAGAAGAAATATAACATTACGAGTGGGTGCCAGAGGGTGCAGGATTGTGATTCGAATGACAGAGGCATGCAAAGCTTATATGCAACATTTTTCACTGTGTTCTTTTTGTTGCTGTTGTTGCTGTAGTTGTTGTTGTTGTTGTTGTTGTTGGCTGTGATGATTATCTACGCACATACATATCTATATAGATATATGTGTATATAGTGTGTGTGTGTGTGCGGGTGTGCGTGTGTGATTGGATTAGTTGGCATTTGTGAGTGAGTGGTTAGGGCTGTGGAATTGGCCACTTTGTCAATTGGTACCAGCTGCCACTTACCGCTAAAGCACAGGCTGATGATCACATAGCTAATCAGGGCGATTCCAATGAAGCATATTAGGACAATCGTCAGCTTCTTCATCCAGGCCAGTAAATTGGCACGCCTGCAACGGGCATAGCACATATACACATGCAAAACTCAATCATAGATGAATTAAATGTTCTGAAAAGCACTTTCGCCTCAATTACGACGTACGGAAACATCCAATTCCAATGTTTGCCCTTTTCATATAACTTTTTTCTAGGGCATATATTTATAACAGGCTCGCTTCGTGAATCTAGTTAAATATGTTCTTAATTCTAATTTAAATTAATTATTTAAAGCTGCCCGTTCTTATGAAAATATTGCAAGTCGCTCATATTTTCAAACAGAATTTGCGGGCTAGATTTGTTCTCTACCCAAAACTAGCCTCTATCAAATATGGTTAGATAAATGCTTTAGTTGCCTTAGGATTGAGTTTGGCTCAAAAGTTTTTCATTTAGAAAATCGTTTGCTTTCACAGAACAAATAATGCGATATAAAATGCCCGAATAAGTATGCTACACTTTCTGCAAATGTAAACCTTGAACTAAGCTATTGCGAGATTATGGATTGGTAAATACTATAATATAACTTAAATACCCCTTTATCAATTGGAAGATGTTTTTACAATTCGAGACTTGGCGCAATTGAGGCGAAAGTGATTTGAATATCGTTTTTGAGACTTACATCTGCTCGCGTCGCGCCTCCTCGGCAGCGGCGGTATCCTGCATCAGTTCGCCGCCATTCTTCTCCTCATCGTCCAGGCCGCTGGAGGATTTGAGTGGAATC